AGTCAATAACTTGTAACGGTAATTAATTACTTTTTGAAAGAGAAAAACTGTAACTGTAATTAATTACTTTTACAAAGTAACTTTCCCATCCCTGCCAAAAACCTAGTTTTATTACCTTCTGATCCACTCCAACTTATTTGTTTGGCAAGACCATTTGAGATCAACTTTGACAAAATGTTACCTATAACACTGCGTTCTGATAGAATAGATAATACACCTGGAGCACTAGTATATTTAGAATGAAGCAGATCTCGCTGTTAGGTAACGAAAAATGAAATAGAATGATTATCGTAAACATAAGCTTTTTTAATTTGTATTAGGTTCGGTTGGCGCATACAGATGGTTGGGTTTTTGTCAATTAAAAATATTGATATCCTAGTTTCTGTTGTTTGTTTAAAGCTAAATCTTATACATAATTAATCTGTCTTTGTTGTTACATTGTTTTCATAAATATTTTTTAAATACGTATTTTGTTTTGTCTAAAATTCAAAATAATTCGTTTAAAATACGTATAATTTTTTTATAGATATAGAACTTTTAAAATAAATACTAAGTTTTTTGATTTTTATTGAGTTTTTCCTTCAAAAATTATTAATATACAAATATTATAGTAAAAATTCATACCTAGTTTAAATGAAACGAAACAAGTTATTCTTTTGAAAACAGCTTTATAAACACAATGTAATATAAAACTAAATAAAATGTAAGATTATGCTGTAAAACTAAAATGGCCAAAATAGTATCTAACATCAATATTTTCAATTAATAAATCCAACATTTCTTGTATCAGTATTTATCATAAACATTACAAAAGACTTACTACAGCTTCATAATTGACGCGATTAGTTGTCAAAAACATATTCATCTTTCTAAAATTCTCCTTTGTCTTCAGTGGAATAGATGGAATATTAGAAGGGGGGGTATCATAGATTTACTATAATTTAGGTTGACAGACCGAACGATAATTGATTGGTTAACCAGCATTGAATCCAATTTTTGCTTATTTCCAGAAGTATTGTGCTGTTCAGCTGAATTTCGTTGTGACAATATTTGCATCCGCAATTACCTGATGAAAAGAAGAATGTATCTAATGTGAAGAATGTCCACATCATAACTTCAACTTAATACAGAAATAAAATACCTTCATTTTGGAAGTTAAATGAATAAGAAGTTTCTACTTGTGACTCCCTTTCTTCTTCACCTACTTTGTCGAAAATAGAATGTACCAATAATGCGGTTTGAGACGAACATGATTCCTCATTAAGACTATTCATATGTATTGAAGATGGAAATGAAAATTCAGTTGAATTAGGAACATCATTTATCGGAAAATCAGATGCAGATATTGATGAGTTACATGAAGAAATTTTAGAAACCTCAGAAGTTTTACTACTTATCACTTTGTCCTTGATAGGAGAGAAAACGGAGTTAAAGTACTACTTGAAATTGTTATTAGTGCATTCCTTTTCTTTTGCATTGTTTTATTGGATACAAGATTATTTTGTTTGATATTACCATTTATTTTGCGCTGCTTTTCATGTTTCTTGTTAACATTTCTTTCACATTGGCTATTGCAAACTTTTTTTAGTTGTTTTTGTTCACAACTTCGGCTAGAATTGTTTCGAAACTCCCGAAGGACTTTGATCCTGGCATAATTTTCAACAGGTTGCTTTCTAGACGTTTTCTCTATCTCTTTATTTACTACTTGAAATACGTTGATATTTTTTACTTCATTCAAAATATCAGAGTTCATCTGAGGTAAAGTCGTCGTACTGTCAGTCGTGCTTTCGCTAAGCCTTCTAATTTTACGTCTTCGAAGCTGTGATGCACATTAGCGAGAGTGGTGGGGATGATTCTCGTGTTGCCCGGGAGCCAGATGTGCATCACAGCTTCGAAGACCTTTTTTCTTTAGCGACATATCGTTCTCTTCATTTTCACCATCTTTGTCAAAGTCCAAGTATCGCTTTGGTAGCTTCCTCTTTCTTGGGGCACCATTTACTTCCGTTTCAAGTGATGTGTCATCCTCAGCTTTTTTCAAACCTTTAATTGCATCATCATGTTCACCTGTAATAACAAATGTAATAGCAACAGTTTCAATAGACTAACAGGATAGAAATATTTAAAAATTTTATTAGTACTTGAAGTTTGATACTTGTAACCACTACAGGAAAAAAACGGTAATAAATCTGCTTTTTCATATATTTATTTAATAAAATTTTACTTAATAAATATGGATAGAGAGAGAGAGAGAGAGAGAGAGAGAGAGAGAGAGAAAACGAAAGAGAGAGTGACATATTATATTTAACAAACTCACGGTATAAATGAAGGACTGTTCCTTTATGACGAGGCCATTGAATTTCAGGCTCAATGCAATTTTGTACAGCTCTTTTTGAATGTACTAGTCTTGATCCTCTTTTTGGCCAGTTTTTTGGGGGCCAAAAATATGTCAGTAATCTCATCATCAGGTTTTTCGATCCATTTCACAGGAATTACTGCAATTGTTTCTCTTTCTTCTTCCTGTTCCTCTCCCGTGAAAGTGACCACCGCATACTGGAAGAAACAACATAAGATAAATAAATATTAATTTACAAATACACAGAAACCACAAGTTAATCATAAGTGGAAAAAATTAAAAGTATAAATCCTATCATAAAAAAAAATAAAAATAGGAACTACATGTATAGCACGTTACAAAACAAGTAGAGTATACAAAGAGACAAATATATAACACATCTCATCGTTATCATTAGTAATCATAATATTCCAGAAGGACTGTGTGCAAGAAGAATATATAGATAGGAATTTTCATTTTCAGGAATAAGAACACATTTCACAATCGCATCATTCATTTTCCAAGATGTAACTATTTCAGCCAGTTGAGAGACAAGAACAATGCCAATAAAGGACGAATCAATTGAATATTGATAATAATTATTCCGTACCTCACAAATCGCTGCCCACGTAAGATCACTACAATATCTTCAGAATGGACAATATTTCGTAACAGTACCACAGAACCGTCCTCAGTTTTAAAACAATTATCAGGAGCAACATATCTTAATGTAAAATTATTGTTTATGAGTATTTTATGATGTTGTTCTTCAACAGTTTCATTCGGATCAATATAATTTCCTGTTAATTGTATACCCTCGATAATATTCTTCAGCTCTGACAAGCGCCCATTAGTTTCAAAATCTCTTCTTGCTAATTGTTGTAAAGGATGGTATCCTGATCGTAATGACTGCTTCATTGTCTTCAAATAGTTTTCATATGGGAAAGCACTAAATGAGTCCAAGCATCCATACTCATCGCATTCATCTACTAAATGAATAAGGCTGTACACATTAACCACGACAAAATCACGGCTAAAGATTTGACTATCACACTGTACAAACAAATTCAAAAATTCTCTAGCAGCATTTCTCATTACAATGTTTTGCACGGGTGGCACCCAGTTGGACACGGCTCAATTGGACACGAGCCACTCACAGCTCTTGAGACTACAAAGCTCCTAAGCACCGGTCGCTGTGATTGGTGGTGTCCAATCGAGCCGTGGTCAATCGGGATCACCCCGTTTTGCACAAGTGAAGGAGAAGCTAAAATGTAAATGCTACAATGAAGAAGTAAGAAGATGTGATAAGTTCGATTAGGGGTATGATCTTTCATTATTTTAACACTATCGTATAGTAAAAATCTTCTGAGCTCTGTAGCTTTAAGATGAGTAACCTTTTTAAATTGATAGGGCTTTCGATTGAATTCTTTGGGAATGAATTGTCCAATCCATGCTGAAGTATTTTTAAATGCTTCTATATCTTCATCTCTTAACTTATCTCGGCTTCTTATTTCCAATAATTGCATTAAAAATCTCTTCATCACACCAACGCATACAAGAGGAAAATATTCAAGTCTAAATTGGGATACCATACCAATATGGAGTTGTTCTTCTAATGGTGATGATTCTAAGTGATGCTCAGGATTTCTTCTATCAATAAATGATTGGTCTGTGCGCTTCTGTCCATTATTCAAATAAACCATTCTGTTATGATACCCTTCACCTTCAACCTCACATTTTTCACAAGAAAATAATCCATTATGTCCAATGGTATACTTTATGAAAGATCTCGCTGGAGCATCACAAATAAAGTTATATATAGATACAGTGTACCCACGTAGCACATCAGCGCTTAAAAAGCGTTAAAAAACGCTTCTGCGGGTGCATAAATCTAGCAGTTTTTTAGCGCTTTAAAAGCCACTATAAAAAGCGCACTATTGGCGCAAATAATCAGCGCAGGATAAATGCAGTTTTATAGCACTGTTACGTCCAGGCCCCAAAAGTATTTTTGTCTTAATGGAAAGAAGGAATTAGGAGGGGGCCAAGGTAGGGCGCAACTTGTACCGCTTTTTGTGGCTTATCGCTCCGTGGACGCGTGCCACAACTCGGAAGCACTTGTG